TGGCTCTCCTCTCACGACACCTCGCTCGGGGACTCTCCGAACGACGGCTTGGAGCTGGTCTTCATGAACGCAGCTGTTTAAAGGAGGGAGAGGTGGAAGCACAATGAAATTTACAAGCCATCCGTGTCAGATTAAGCAGGAAATTAGTTCTTTTCTGGAATGGGAAGATCAGCATGAGGTTGATGAAAAACACGGGCTGGGGGTAAGATTTGGCCATTCTGGTGCCCTTTTGCAAACTCTAGCGGAAGAAGATTTTGGAGTTCTGGGCAAGATATATTTATTTTGCTTTCCCCCTCCTTTCCTGAATGCTTTATCCCACACTGAAAAGAAATCAGTTTGTCATTTAATATTCTTTTATCATCCGTCCATTGAAAGGAAGAATGTCACCCTGGGGCTGAACTCGCGTATTGCTTTGAATTCTCTTACACAGCATTGCGGCCTTCTGGCGAGAAAGAAAAGTGTGGAGGGGGGGTCTCTTGAGTTGAGGATTGCTCTGGCTGATAAGCTCATCTAACAAATGCAACAGAGGCTTAAAGTGAAGCAGAGCGGTTGATTTCCAGGTCATCCGCAACTGCCATCAATTGATGAGCCACTTAATCAACTGTCTGCATGAGTTTTAGTTGATTGATCTATCAACACCCTAAGCGGTGTGTGATTCATCCGGAAAGATAGCGTTATCCAAACAGCTCCAACCCGGACAAAATTGAAAAAAAATAGTGCCAAACCTAACCCACCAACTTATTCACCATGACCTTTTGAGCTAGCCTCCTCTTTGAGACAGAACATAGGATTACCATCCATAAAAAGTCCCTTTCCACCAGCCCCAGTTTTCGAAATGAAATGGAGTTATTGTTTTAAACGTCTTGGTTACGGTTTGCTGGGACCAGATGACAAGGCATTAGTCTGTCTGAGAAGTTCTTGCTGTCAAGGCTGAAAAACATAGTTTGCTAGCAAACCAAGAAAAATAAGTATCTCGCACAGAAACAAGCATCTGTGGTGTCCAGTTATGAAGATCATGAAAGAGGTTGCTAAGGTTGAACTCAACGAAAGACAGAGAAGGATCCCCAAAGGTTTACGGCAAGGATGGTCAACCTATACATTCTGGGGACCCTCTGATGGTGAAGGGTCCAAGATGATATTGTTCAGAGGAGGGATTTCAGTCCCTTAACCGAGACTTTCCATCCTGCGGTGAAGAACTTCTCCAACCCAGAGGTCTACTACATATATCAGCCTTGGTCCATCCAGAAGCTTCACGCTGCCTGCCGGCCAGCCCCAACAGGCTGATATACCGTTCCATAGGCATCAAATATGGAGGTTCTCCTGTGCCTTTCAGATAGGAAGAGAACCTTTAAGCAGTGAAAGTCGCATCGTAATTTCATTTGGGAAAAAAAATAGCAGATGGATGTTTTCAGTAGCCGGTCAGTTTGGGGTAATGACCAATTCCTTTCCAGCTTGGGGCTAGGATAGCAAACCTTTAACGAACACAACATTCTTGGAACTTGCAAAGAATCCTGTGCAACCCAAAAACTTGCTATCCTGTCTCTCCCTTAATTTGGGAACATCATCATCATCATCATCATCATCATCATCATTATTATTTTTTTTTTTAACAAGACATTGATGACCTGAATTGGGTGGAGTTTTCTCTGTTGTTTATTGAGTTCAATACTTCCAACCCTTTCTTCTGTTTCCTTCACTCTCTCCATCTAGGGTTGGAGAGAAGCATCTTTTTAATCCAAGTCCAATTATTTTAAGACGCATTCTGTCAGTTCAGAAGGGCAAGCCTTTTGACCACGTTTTTACAGCCTCAACCACAACACTTTCTTAAATACCTCTAATTAAGAGGAAATACTACAGTTACAAGTTAATTTTTAGTCGTTCATTAGCAGCATTCAAATCGGATCACCTCCATTAGATTCCAGACCTGCATATTCAAAGTTATCTGATAAATGCCAAAACAAAAGGAAAACACACAGACACACACAAACACACACGAAGGAAAAAAAAAAGGGGGGAAAAAGTCAATTTTCAACGCGGCTGTTTTGATCAGCTGCAAGTCACACACATATAAAATGGTGATTTTAAAATATTTGTGGCGGGATGGTGCTTACCAGCTTCAGGGAAAGCTTCGCGTTAAAATGGAGAAGTATTTTTGGGGGGGAGGGAGAGAAAAAAGAGAGAGAGAGAAAAGAAAAGTGCGTATCAGAAGGAGAAGACAAGTTCCAAACGGGTTCTAACAAAAGGGTGCAAATGAACGCGACACACGCACAGACTCTGCTCGGCTTGCGCAAATGGACACTGCTTTTCACACATCTTTGCAAACGTTCACGAGATGGGAAGGGGGCAAGAAATACTGTGGAACCGTGGCCTTGGCCTCCCACCCGAAGACACAAATTTGAGTTTTGCTCCTGCCTCTTCCGTTCTAACCAGCCGCTACAAAAAGGTGATGGGAGAGTTTATGACAGTGTTCCTCAACCTCCGCGACTTTAAGCCGTGTGGACTTCAACTCCCAGAATTCCCCAGCCAGCTGTGCTGGCTGGGGAATTCTGGGAGTTGAAGTCCACACGGCTTAAAGTTGCGGAGGTTGAGGAACACTGGTTTGTGATAATGCAAAGCCGACTCATTCTGGTTTAGTCTCTAACTTTACGCCAACTTTATTTTGGGGGGAAGTTGGCCGTGGGAGCTGTTGAATTCCCTCTCTTTCTGCCTGGAAGCTTAAAAAAAAAGTTAAGTTTAGGGAATTAAACATTGTGCCCTCTCCTATTCCTTCCAACTTCCTAAAGCGTGTAGCTTCCAGGCAGAAAGAGAGGGAATTCAACCTCTCGCCGTCGCCTATTCTTTCCAACTTCCTGTAGGATATTATTCTGCATATTTCCAGTTTGGGGATCGAGGCATTCAAAACGGGGGTTTGGTGCACACTAGGAATCAAGCAACAGCTTTAAACTCTTCTCACACAACAGAGTTGTCGTTCTGAACCCACGATCCTCCCAGATGCTAAACAAGGATGCAAACAAGATTTTTTCAAATTTATTTCCAGCCAAACGACCCCAGTAGCAGATACGAGCTAAACGTTTGCCATTCGATGGAACCAATAAAATAAATGGATCGGGATTACATCAAGCCCTTAAAACTCAACCTTATCGATGTGTGGCTGAAGACCTTGTTTTTAGAGCCCGCGTGAAAAACGGGGCTGCAGCCACTGTAATTTTAGGATTCTGATCGGCGAGTAACATTTGAACAGATGCAGAAGCCTCTCTTCCTGCCCTGGATTTTAAAATAGGCCAGATAATATCCTGTCAAAAAGTCTGAAAATAAATGTGGACAGTAAACTAAACTCTAAAAATAAATACAGCTTTTCTCTGCGTGTAATGAGCTAGCACATCAGTGTCGTTTAATTTGCCCAAGTGTATCAGCAAAAACAGACCGAGCTGGAAAGCTGCATTTTTTTCCCAATGGTTTCTTTTAAAAAAAAAAATGAAATCAATCTGTCTCAGGAGAACGCTGACGTGAGAGACCGACAGAGCCAACAGCTTTCCTCTTATGCTGAAAGGCTAGTCATCTACCTGCAGGGATTTAAGCAGCTTTGGGAAATAAGAATTTCCTTCCCGCTCTCTGGAACGGCCCAGACGATTTGGGCTGCAGGGAAAACTCGCAACCCCGTCTCTTTTTTCCACCGTTCATCCAAACTCTGCCTTGTGCACGCACATCTTTTTTGCCAGATGTGGCAGGAAATGAACAGAAGGGACGGGCGGTGAACAAGGGAAGAATTAAATTATCTTTCTCTGTATTTATTCCTTCTCGGCGGTCGGGTTGGCTGGCAAGCCTTTTATTACGCTTACCGACGGGGGTTTACCTGTCTTGCACGCTAGCAGGGCGTCTGCCCGAGTGTGAAAAGGAAAGCTGATGCACAATTGTGGTGAAGTTGGGGTGAACGCCGCCTTCCCCAACCCAGGACTACAACTCCCATCATCTCCACCAGCCGGGCCATGGTTTAGAGCACCTAGGGCACTACTACCCAACCCATCGGCTTTTATTAAACTTGAACCTGTCGGAAAAAATGCTCCTGAGCTCCGTCGCTTTCAGGCTCGCCAACGTAATTCTCTTCCCCATAATGCAAATCAGGTGGGGGGGAAATGCGCATCGTGCCACGTCTCTCTGGAGTTATGAGCAAGCTTGCACTAAAATTGCAAAGAGCAGGGAGAAAAGGAAGTAATAAAGGGTTTTTTTCCCCCCACCCTTACATTGCCCATGCTGGAAGGACTCTTAAAATCACAGTGGAACTTGAAAAAAAAATGGATTCGTTGAATTGCGCCTTTTGAATATTATACGGTGGCAGTGAGTTCCGCATGCTGACTTGCACCGAAAAACTTCTTTTTTCTTTTTGCAATTCGCTTGCAGAACTCACGGCTGCAAGGTAAGAAGGGGGCTGCTGGCTTTGGGGACAAACCAGTGCAATTGGAGTATGCCTTTTGTTTTAAAAATCTAAAACGAGGTGAGAACGCTTCGTTTAATCCCAAAGCAGTATTTCTCAACCTTGGCCGTTTTAGGATGTGTGGACTTCAACTCCCAGCTGTGCTGGCTGGGGAATTCTGGGAGTTGAAGTCCACACATCCTAAAACGGCCAAGGTTGAGAAACACTGCTCTAAATTTTTTTGCCTCTTTTGCCTAGGGAACAATTCCTGAATATTTCCATCAAGGTCTCCTCCTTTGCTTTCTACACTTAACCAGCATTTAGACCTAGAACTCCAGTTCGATCTGCAGCTTTCCCCACCTTCAGTTCCTAAAAGCGCCCATTAAAACAGCCGTGTAGGTAAAAAAAACAGTTTGGTGTAATGGGGAAGTGCCGGACTCGGAACTGGGAGAATGGGAGTTGTAGTCCCCCCCAGGCCAGGAAGAGTTACGCCAATCACTTTCTTTCAGCTCAGCCCACCTTCCAGGGTTGTCGCTGTAGGGGAAAATAGGAGGAGGGGGCGTTGTGTACGCTGGGAAGTTGTGCAAAATAAAGGGGGCACGTCAATCTAAACCTGATTTCCAACACTGGCTGGCAGCTGCAACGTGGGCTTATAAAGTTTCCCCCAGACTTACCTGAACGCAAAGGTGGAATCTCTCTGCAAAATGCAGTTTAGCGGGTGCACGCAGCGGCATTTTGCATCGAAACTAAAATTAAACCAAACGCCTTGCGGAAGAGGGAAGTGCGAGAATCCCCTTCGGTCGGTTCCCCCTCGCTCACCGCCTCCCCGGCCCGCCAAATCCGGGCTGCTCCTTTGCTTTCTCACCCTCATTTCAAACATTTCTGTGAACTTCCACAAAGACATAAGGCTACACATCTCCAAAACGCTGGCATGCAGGCTATAAAAACTACGAGGGACGGGTGCCGGAGTAAACCGACATCCCTACAAGAAGCGTGCGCTATGAGTAAAAGCTGGTCACTCTCTAGAGAGAAAGCTACAGATCTACCATCCAACAAGGGAATTGTTGAACCGTAAATTCAATATATGCTAAGGGCCAGACCACACGTATATACAGCGTATCTACAGCTTACAACATGGGGCGGGGGGAGAAGGGGAGGAAGGGTGAAATAAGGGAGAACAAAATGGTTTTGTGTTGCAGGGTTTTTTTCCTGATTTTGGCACTTTTGCCTCTGCCAACATGACTGCCCCAAAGGTTCCACAAAATCGTCGGAAAGCTTGGCACCAGGGGTGCGGGCCAGGGATTCTTCAATAAAGAAATACAGCCTCCAAACTACCTGATGGGGCCGAAGGCAAAAATACTACGCCGTTATCAAGTTTTTTTTAAAGAAAGGCTCCTGTGGAATTTTCCTGACTTTGAATCGATTTAAAAACAAAACGGTTGGATTACTATAAAAAAATAATAATAATAAAGTTTCATTCTGGGGTTGTGGCCGTTGTTAATTGTCAGGGTTTTTAACTTTAACTTTCTGGGTTTTTCACCAGCGTGCAAAAGAAACTCCTTTCGTTCTCTTAGCTGTAGGGCACCTTAACTCTCTGGTTACAAGCCAACCTGATCACCTATCGAGACTCGGGGGCTGTGTTTGCGAATGGGGTTCAACCAGGCGAACGATCCTGGGCTTAAACTTGGTTTGTTTGATGATGTGGCGTGTTTCTTGATGGCGTAAATTGGCTTAAACCCAACCAGATTAGCAGGTTTAGGGTTTAATGTCTCGGGCGAGGCCAAAAATCCAGCAGCTGAGTTAAATGGCTTGCGCGGACCCAGACAAAGTAGGCTGGTGCAAAAGTTGTCAAACTATTACACAACTTTCCAGAAAACACGAAAAACCTACACGCTTATTTCCAATCTATTCTTCCACTTGATGTGGTGAGGGGCCAATGACCCACTCAAAAAATCAACTGGGAGGGGAAAAAAACTAGTGGGGGGTGTTGCTGAATGCAAAAGTAGGTGAATTTTGCAACGTCTTCCTTCTTTTAGGCTCTGATCTTTCAGCCTAATTGGCTGGGGATGCTGGGAGTTGTAGTCTGTGCACATCTGGATAGCCCCAGGTTGGGGGAAGCTGTGTTTGAAGCCCTGCGTTCAAAGCCTACGTTCGCTGTCTGGAGCTGGGGGGGAAAAATTCTTTGCCTCGTGCAAAATGGAAGCAACGGTGAGTTCGTAAAGATGCTGTTGCAAAAAAAAATCAGGGCTGTACTTTAAAAATATCACGGGCTCGATTCAAACTAAGCTAGGTAGTTTAAGCTGCACGGATAGCCGTGGAAAATCTAAACTAACACTGACCTGAAGCTGATCTAAAATCTTCAAAGAGGGCTTAAAATATTTCAGTTCTTCCGTTGCAGAATTGGGTTCCTTCCTTGTTGCAATTCAAATGAATGGGGGGAAAAAAACATTTTCGAGCCTTTTTGTAAGGAAGAACAAGCAAAATGGATAGTAAATGGGATAACTGGCTGGACGTGCCAAAATGAAGGAGGCTGGCTTTATTTTTCTGACGGAAAACGCCTTGCCAGACCTTGTGGTCTTTTTAAATCGTTCAATTAATCAGAGGTCCTCGCAGGGCGTAGCAAAATCAGCTACGCAGGGCTGATTCCTCGAAGGAGCCACCAAATCCCGGGATTTGTAGATCTGACTGAAAAGTCGGGGGGAAAAAAGCTAGAAG